AAAGCTTAGAAATGCTAAAAGCTAAAAGCTCAGAAAAGCAAAAAGCTTAGAAAAGCTAAAAACTCAGAAAAGCTAAAAGCTTAGAAAAGCTCAAATCTTAAAAATGCCAAAAGCTAAAAGCTTAGAAATGCTAAAAACTTAAAAAGGCTGAAAGCTTAGAAAAGATAACATCTTAAAAATGCCAAAAGATAAAAGCTTAGAAAGGCTAAAAGCTTAGAAAGGCTAAAAGCTTAGAAATGCTAAAAGCTCAAAAATGCCAAAAGATAAAAACTTATAAATGCTTAAAGCTCAGAAAAACTAAAAGCTCAGAAAAGCTAAAAGTTTAGAAAAGCTCAAATCTTAAAAATGCCAAAAGCTAAAAGCTTAGAAATGCTAAAAGCTTAAAAAGGCTAAAAGCTTAGAAAAGCTAAAATCTTAGAAAAGCTAAAATCTTAAAAATGCCAAAAAATAAAAGCTTAGAAAGGCTAAAAGCTTAAAAAGGCTAAAAGCTTAGAAAAGCTAAAATCTTAATGCCAAAAGATAAAAGCTTATAAATGCTAAAAGCTTAAAAAAGCTAAAAGCTTAGAAAAGCTAAAATCTTAAAAATGCTAAAAGCTTAGAAATGCTAAAAGCTTAAAAAGGCTAAATGCGTAGAAAAGCTAAAAGCTTAGAAAAGCTAAAATCTTAAAAATGCCAAAAGCTAAAAGCTTATAAATGCTAAAAGCTTAGAGATGCCAAAAGATAAAAGCTTATAAATGCTAAAGCTTAGAAATGCTAAAAGCTTGGAAACATCTGAATGATGTTTCTAATCAGAATTGAAGAGGGAAGCTGTGAGGAGGGGGCCGGCTCACTTGTCGTTGTGATACTCCCCCTGCCGGTGGATCTGGTTCTCCAGGGTGAAGTTAAAGGTGACTTGTTCCACTCTCTCCTTGACGAAAACCTTGGTGCGGGAGGAGTACTCCTGCTTCTGGAGGTACTTGATCATGTCGGGAAACCACACCGTCAGGCCGTAGTAGCTGGAAGAAGAAGAGGAAGAAGAACAAGATCAATAAGAAGAAGAAAAAGAATAAGAACAAGAAGAAAAACAAAAACAACAACAACAAGAAAGACAAGAACAATAATGAAAACAAGAAGAACAAAAACAATAGGAACAATAAGAAGAAATTCAAAGAAGAAGAGCAAGAAGAAGTAGAAGAAGAAGAAGAATGAGAACAATACAAAGAAGAAAAAGAACAAGAACAAAAACAAGAAGAAAAATAATACAAAGAAGAAAAAGAAGAACAACAACAACAAGACCAAAAAGGACAAGAACAAGAAGAATGAAAACAAGAAGAAGAACAACAACAATAGAAACAATAAGAAGAAATTCAAAGAAGAGCAAGACGAAGTAGAAGAAGAAGAAGAATGAGAACAATACGAAGAAGAAAAAGAACAAGAACAGGAACAAAAACAAGAAGAAAAATAATACAAAGACGAAAAAGAAGAAGAAGAACAACAACAACAAAAAGGACAAGAACAAGAAGAACGAAAACAAGAAGAAGAACAACAACAATAGAAACAATAAGAAGAAATTCAAAGAAGAAGAAGTAGGAGGAAGAGGAGGAAACGGGAGAAAATGAGGTTCAAAACAGGCAAACTTCCTGTAACTGTGTGAATAAACCTCTTTCCTTGGGTTACAAACACACCTTCCAGGTTATAAACTCTCCATGTTTGCTTTATTTAAGGCTTTAAAGATTAACGTGGACCGAAGTAGAACAATTTCCACCTCATATGTCAGTTTATGAGATGGTAACTTTGCTGTATAAGTACGTACAGACAAAACTGTATAAAGTATTAAACTGTATCATCTGCATAAAGGATTAGCCAAAAGCTAAAATAACTGGAACATTAGTAGAGTGCTTGGTTTGGATTTTTATTTATTCTGTTTGTATTTGGTTTAATCCTCTCTAGTAAACTAACTCTTTAATCAGGGTTTAACAGGATTGAAGCTATAAGATATATCTGGGCGTCATCTAATCATCTAATCTCCTGAATATGTGAATTCCTGATGGGTTTAATGTTGGACCGGGTCCTACCTGAAGGACATGGAGAACCACACGGCCATCATCATGTAGGTGGTGCGGCGATACTCGGGGGAGAAAATGGCCAGGAAGTTACTCCAAACCTAAAGGAGGACAGAGACACATAAACAGCCCAGAAAGGACTCAAAATCCCATCGAAACGCAGTCAAGACCTCAGCAGAAGCTGTCCCAGAAGAGTTGTTTTGTTATTCCTTTAAAGGCCGATCAAGGAAAATATTTGGCCCGTTAACAAAATATTTATTATTAACAAGTCATTAACAAGACATTTTCTTGCATATTTTGGCATAAAGTGATGCCAAAGGGCTCAGATGGACCAAACCCCCCAAAAACCGGATCCAAACCGGCTGTTTCAGACCTGTTTCAGACCTGTTTCAGACCTGTTTCAGACCCGTTTCAGACCCGTTTCTGAGCTGTTTCAGACCTGTTTCAGAGCTGTTTCAGACCCGATTCAGACCCGTTTCAGACCCGTTTCAGACCCGTTTCAGACCCGTTTCTGACCTGTTTCAGACCTGTTTCAGACCTGTTTCAGACCCGTTTCAGACCTGTTTCTGACCTGTTTCAGACCTTTTTCAGACCTGTTTCAGACCTGTTTCTGACCTGTTTCAGACCCGTTTCAGACCTGTTTCAGACCTGTTTCAGACCTGTTTCAGACCTGTTTCAGACCTGTTTCAG